ATTGAACCCTTTCCTGCTCAGCTGTTCCATCCTCTTTCTGATATTGCTGTTACAGAGAGCACTTTGGGTAATTTTAACCTCTTCACGCCAGCCGCACACAAATGTGCGGCCTTCCGGCGTCTGGGCCTAGACGCCGAGCGGACGCACATTTGCGCGCACTTAACAAAAAACATATGTGCTGAGAGCGTGCACCCTGCATGCTCCCAGCACACATGTCCGGTACTCACGGAAAGGTCCCGGTCTGCTCTTTCGATCGGGAACTTTCCCAATCATGTGACCACTGTGACGACGCGTCACGGCGGTCACATGATTCCTTAACCCCACCCCGCCCGTCCCACCTCCCGGCTTCTGAAAGGGCCGGGAGGCGCCGGCGGGAAGGGGTTAAACTCAATTCATAGTAAAAATGTATATTGGGGCTTATTTATTTATTTATTTATCTTAGTAAGCCCTGGTTCACACTGATGCGAATTCGCAGCATTTTCAGTGAAATTCCGCATGGCATCAGAATCGTACCCCGTTCATGCGAACCGCTGCGGGTGTGTATGTTAAGTTAACAACACCCCGAAAGTGGTCTGCAAAACGCGGTGCGATGTGCAGAATCGGATCACATAGGTGTGAATACCCGTGTGATCCAATTCTAGTGCAGACCCAAAAAAGGGTCCTTTGCGTTTTTGGTGCGGGTGCGGTGCAATTAGAGCCATAAAAAATGTACGGCTCCGATCGCACCGCATACAAATCGCATTTGATTGGCAGAGGAATGCGGTACGGTTCCTGTGCGAATCACATGCGATGTACCGCATATATGTGAACCCGGGCTAAAGCAATTATTAAGGGTTGCTGTCTGATGTGGACAATGTTTTTTTTTGCTATATTTGCTTATGTTTTGCTTTTATATTTGGCATTCACGATAAATATAGTGTATATTATATATATATATAAAAGAATGGTTAAGTGTCATAACGTCATCAAAATTGTTGATACTTCCTTTTATTTTCTTGTTGGCATTGTACCAGGACCCATATAAATCCAGCGGGTCCTAAAGGGAGGGGGTAGCATTTCACCTGTATGATTAATTTACTTGTACAATACAGAATTTACATGTAAACCTGAAAACTGTATCAATATTAAAATATATATTGTGCACTTAAAATAGTGTAACCCCCCCCCAACCAAAAAAAACTTTCACAGTTTACATCTAAGGCTCTTATTTACTCACATAATGAGTGCAATGAATAATCAGAATTCAGCTTTTAGCATCTTGGACTGATTTTTGGCTGGCTGCTGTGGATTCTACATGACGCATATTTTGATCTACAGTAATAACTAACCTCATCTCTTGCCCCTACAAAGGTTCTGTCACAAGCAGTAGAAGCAGGCATGTGAGCTGATTTTACCTGATCAAAAAGTTACGCAGACGCTGTCTCCCTGCAGTCTAAGTCAGTGGTCTCCAAACTGTGGGCCAGGGGCCAAATGTGGCCCTTTGCTTGCTTTTGTCCAGCCCTTGGGGCACTATTTCTCCCACTTACATGGGGAATTATTCCACCCACTGACACCAACAATTGGCCATAATTACTGCCACTGACACGGGCGGACTGACCATTCGGAAACTCGGGCGCTGCCCGAGGGCCCCTAAGTCCCAGAGGGCCCTTGTGTCGGTGCACAGTGGCACAAATGGCGTACCCCCCCATTCCCTCCTTGTTGTTTCACTCTGCAAGTAGTGGTTCACTTTAGATGTGTTATTACAGCAAAAGAAAGAAAAAAACGAGATTCTCTGTTTAGTTCATTACCACATTCCTGATGACAACAGTAGGCCTTGCCTGTGTAATATGTGTTGAAACTCCCATTTATAGTCCCCATTGGAAACCCATGTGACAGGGTGACAACCAGGGGTGTATTTACCACAAGGCATTTGCCTATGGCGGCATTTTAAGGGGGGCAGAACCACCCCCCCTGCAAGAAGGGACACATGTGGCTAGGGCACCAGATGGGATCTGAGAGAGGCTGCAGGCTGTTTGACTCTCGTTCCTGGGGATGTCCAGAGCTGTGAAGGTGAGTGTCTTTCTCTCACTGAGAGGCGAGTGACTGGTGTATGGGGGTGGAAGGTTCTCTCGGGTGGGGGGGCAGGGGTGTTGTTGGTCAATGTCAGGCTCTCTCCGGGGTGAGAAGCGAATTTTGTGTTGCCTAGGGCAGCACAAAACCTAAATACACCACTGGGGACAACACAGGAGTACATTTGAGAGGCAGGTACAGACAGTTGTCAGCCTATAACAGGATGTGCCATAATAGGGACCTTCAGGGATGGATTACGAGGTGATTTTTAAAAAAAAAGATTTAAAAATGAATATTAGGGATCTCTAACAGGAAAACATGCCTCATTCCATACTTCTTCAGCAGCTCGTACTCTCCCCGATTTGGGCAGGCCCTCAATGTCCTGGTGGGCAGTGAATAGCCACTGGTTGTGCAGTGTACCCGATTGTGTCAGCAAGGGGGTGGCTTTGTCAAAAAGGTTGTCCGGCAGGGTAGAAGTATTTTTCAATTTCTCAATCAAAGTTGTTGAGCCAAGCGGTTTTGGTAGCGCCACTCAAAGCTCAAACTTTGGTCAATTAACGGGAATCACCCGAAATTCGAACTGTTTATGGTCTCGCTATAGAAGTAAGAGCTACTGAAAAAGCAGTTTTAGAAGCTGCCTGGCGTTCATCTTTAAATACAGTACTCAAGATTCAATAATCAAGAGAGAGACCAGCAAGAGGATTGAATTATTTTCAAGTGAAAAGTTATCATTATAATTCAAAACATGAAAATGGCTGAAAACACCCTCTATTTTCCTTTCAACGGTTGTGCCTTTTCAGGCTCCCGGCTGAGAGCAACCCAACTATTTACATTCAGAGCCAACTTCAGGCTAAATGAAGGAGATAATGGTGTGTTCTTCTCCTATTGTTCTGCACTGCCAGCCTCCACAAAAGCCATTCCACTCTAATGAGAACGTAAAGCACTCATTCTGATAGACCATAAATAGACTCCCAGATTCTCCCATTCCCATCCTGCATTAAAGGGAAATGGGGCCTTTTTAACTAAGCGGTATAAAGCTGTGCAGTCTTACTTCTTAAGTAGATCGAAACCCTAACAGAATGACAATTCTAAAGCAGTGGTCTCCAAACTGCGGCCGGGGGGGATGGATGTGGCCCTTTTGCTTGCCTTTCTCTGGCCCTTGGGGCACTATTCCACCAACTGACACCAATGATGGAGCGCCATTCCCACAATTGGGCAATATCAGGGGCGGACTGACCATTTGGAAACTCAGGCATTGCCCGAGAGCCCGGGGTCAGTAGGGGGCCCCATGAGATGCCCCTGGTACCTTTTTCATAGGCTTTTTTGAGTTTGGGCAAGGACACAGGGGTCCCATGATCCCCTATTGAGGGCCCGGTGTCAGTAGGGGGCCCCATGAGATGCCCCTGGTACCTTTTTCATAGGCTTTTTTGAGTTTGGGCAAGGACACAGGGGCCCCATGATCCCCTATTGCCCAGGGGCCCCATGAGTTGTCAGGCCACCCCTGGGCACTATTCTTCTAATTGATAGCACCCTGAAAACCCACCTCTTCAGGGAAGCCTACCCCACCCCCTGCTAACTTGCCAACCTCCTCCACTCTTCCTACCACCCCATCCCCCACAGCTATCTCCTCCTGTGCCACCATCCCCTCCCTCCTAGATTGTAAGCTCCAAAGAGCAGGGCCCTCGATCCCCTCATGTTTGCATTGTATTGTTATTGTTCTGTCACATGTTCTGTCCCCCTTTGTAATGTACAGCGCTGAGCGAACTATTGGCGCTATATAAATACTGTATAATAATAATAATAATGAGGTGCTATTCCTTCCATTAACCTCCCTAGCGGTCTGATTATGTCAATATTTCTGTGCTCAAAGCGGGTACATTTTTTGCATGGAAATATGTCGTTTTTTTATTGTAGGCCTGTAATTTTTAGGAATAACTCAGTGAAATCTGTCCGAACAAGAGTTTAGTAAACATCCCGGGTAGGATAAAATTTGAAACACAAAATCATGAATTATAATTTAATAAATAATCTTAAAAAAATTAATATAATAATAATAAATTTCATTCAATATTATAATCAAACCAAAAACACTGAAATTTGAAATAGAGCGCCAAGTTCGCACATCACTGAGCAAAGTCGCAAAATCGTTTTCGGTGTCTGATGAGAATTTCCCCCACGAATCATTATCACTCAATTCTGCAAGTGGTTCTGATTTACTATCGCTGTTCTCTAGTCGGTCTAAAACCGCTTTTGACCTAAAGGGACGCTTTTTGGACGCCATGGACGTTTCTCAGTTTCCAGGCAGAAAGAACAGTAAAAATGCAGGCAGGGCACAGGACAAAGCACTCGGGACAAAATGTATGTGAAATGGTTTGATACAGTAATGTTTCTACTATCAGATTTTAGTGTATTTAGTGAATGTAATTTTTTTAACATTTTTAAATTTCCCGCCGGTTCCGTCCCCCGTACGTCCTGACGCTCGCAGGGACCGGAACCAGGAAGACGGATGCCGGCATCGGCCAGAGGAGATGGCCGGGGACGCTGCACAGGGGACATCACAGGAGCGAAGGACAAGGTAAGTGCAAGAGGGATCCCAGAGCAATGCTGCAGGGTATTTCCAAGTGTAGCTCGGGGTTACTGCTTTTGGTACTGAAAGTTAACCCCGAGCTACACTTGGGAATACCGCCAGGGAGGTTAAAACCAATGATCTGTCACTGATGCTGGGGAATTTTCTACTCCCACTGGCCACAGTCCAGCCCCCTAAATCCTGAAGGGCGGTAAACTGGCTCTTTGCTTAGAACGTTTGGAGACCTCTGTTCTAAAGCAACAAAATTTTGCTAAATTTTTTTTTTCTCCATAAAATTTAGTTCCCAAAGAATTATTGACCCTAAAATAAGAGTTTCCAAGTAACCTTCTCTCTTTCTTTCTTGCTATCTATCTGAGAAGCTTACCTCTCTCATTCACACTGGGGTTGGAGGTAGACAGTATTTGAGGAAGCGATGTCCCCATATCCAGTTCTGTTAGGGTCAGGTCATTCATAAAGTTTGGCAGCTGGGAGACAACAAAAGTAGACAATCTGTCAGACACACTTTTCTTTCTACAGTCAGACAGCAGCCTCATAAATAATTGTCTAACCAACGAAATACACATCCTAAGCAACAGTCAACTAGGGCTACATTGAATTATTGGTTATATTGTGTACTGAAAATCCCACCTTGATCTTTGTTAGTTTTTTCTGGATTTTATTGGCCACAATGTCCTCCCAGTATTGTTCTCTGAGGAAATCCCAGAAGATGCGTCCGATGAAGGCGTTTACCCAGCACACATTAGGGCTGCTGGAGAGAGAACGTTCTACGAATTGCTGTGTGGATGAGCAAAGACGTTCAATTAGGTCATGGAGATAGCAAGAGTTGTGCTCACCGGTGTCCGGTCAATGACGTAAGATGTAATAACATGTTTGGTGCAGTAACATCTACATTTTTATCTTGACTTGCCCCCAGCTACCCTTGCAAGCCTTATACTCACTCACCGATCCAGCAAGATATCACCACAAAGCTACAGAGTTGTCAAACTCCTCTTAATAACATTTAAATACATAAGATAACCCCAGTGCAAATTTAGAGCCATGACCACCAGCAAAAACTACGTTTGTAAATATATTGCCTAGCTTGTTTCTTTATGCCTCCATAGGCTGCTGGGTTATTTTAAAGAGCAATAGGATATGTACAAAGTGTAAGAATGTACAGCAACCAGAAAACGTTGACTTTTTTGATTCTTCACATTTTAATTATAAGTGAACTTTTCAGTAAAGCGCAATGTGCTGGAGTGCCTTCTCGTGAAATTCCAAGTGCCTAGCTTTCTTTGGAAGTAGCAGTGAAGCACAGCAACACAATTGGCTCCTCTAGGAACTGGAAAGGAGCCAAGTTCAAGGTAAGAATTTAAAAAAAAATTCTAAAAACTTTATTTTTGGCAGCTTTTTTAAAGCACTTTTATTTAGCTGGGCTGTCAGTAAAGTGGGCCTTGTATTTTTAAGCTAGGTCTGCTTTAAGATGGAGTGTCTATGAAGGCTTCCAATGTTTTGTTGCCTAGCTGTCATGTTAATGCTTTGGTTCTTGCTGTGCTATGGAAACATAGACTAGGTTTCAGAACATGGATCCAACCCCTTCATTTACAATAGCTCACTATTGACCCATTGCAATGATCTACAGCCTCACCAACCAATACCGAAGTTGATGGGGTCAGGTTCTCAACCAGTAGAAAAGATGTCACCAGAACACCAGATGAAGGGGCCCTGCACGGCTTTGAAACATTGCCTCTGTAAATATGATGTGACCACTAAATAAAGCTTTGGACCCTTGGTGTGCGGGTGACATATTTTCTACTTCGGATATTGACGGTTTCGGTGGTTGGTGGTCGCTGCAGCATCCTCTAACATCTAACAGCCATTTCCAGGAACATTTACGCTGGGAATATTGTGATGAGGCTGTCAACCAGGACTACTCAAAATGTAATTAGCAGAACAAACGGGATTTGAAGAACACAGGGTGCGCTATAGGAAACCACTCATTTCAATTTTAACTATTGAGCAGTCACATTCTGCACTGTTTTGGTTTTTTTATTGTCAATATACACTAACTCCATCAACTAATACGTGAGTTTTGCATGGTTCATGGCCAGCTAAATCACATGCTAGCTCCCTATATCTCCCATGGTCTCAAATAAAGAAAAAAAAAACTATCAGAGTTCCTATTTCTACCCAGCCTATGAAGCCAAATGCTGGTGACACTTTACCCAAAAGATTCTTTATAACATAGAAAAGAAAATAGAGTGCTTGGCTATGATGGGATGAAACCTATACTGTGACCTTGAGGGAGAGAAGAAGACACAAACTACTGGAGTTGAATGTTGACATTGGCGTTTCTAAGAGGTATAAGAAGGGGGTTAAATGATTCAAATCACCAATGCCCATCCAATACATTCAGTGTTTTAGTGGAAAAAGTAAACCAGATAGGGGATGGATGACCCTAAAAATAAATATATCACTAGCTAAATAAAAAAAAAACACAAGACCACCTTTCTCCGAGGGGTGGGGCTGCTGGTTGCGCTCTGATGAGGGCTGGGAATGGGACTTATGGTCTCTGGTGGAATGAAGCAGGCAATGTAACTGTTGTAGTCCAGGAGGATTTTCTGCCTGACATTCCCTGACAATTCTCTGGGTTTCAGCAGATAAGGAATGTCCTCTGTACTCTCTGTGCTACTGTTGCTGGTTCCCCCCAAGCTGCCCGAGCTGGACAATGGATGAGGCCCAGACCCTGAAGAAGAAGGAAAAAAAGAAGTTAGGATAAAAAAAATGTTGTTCCAGACAAAACTTTTTTTCTGTTTTGCATAGCGTGGGAAAGGATTAAAACCCCATATTTGATTTATAATACTGTTTGGGACTTCATTAGAAAGATTTTCCCTCACTAAGTAAACAAAACCTCTACATTTCCAAAAGGCAGAAACAAAAACACTTATTTTTTAGTAAAGTATAGGAAGCATACAAGCCCCAATAGGTTTTATTGTTGTCTGTGTCTTGGCAAAAAAACAAGAATGGTTGCTAAAGGATGATCAATTGAAAAACGTTCATTACAAAGCCCATTTATTCAAGATCATATTTCTACTAGACATAAAAGGGAAATGATGGAAAACCCCAGAATGAGCATAAAAACACCTGTTCTGCTGTCGCTTCTAGTGCCATCTTGTCTTCCAGCCATAGACCCTTGGGTGGCTCGGAGTAGATGTTGGCACCACTCTTCCTTGCTTCTCCCTGTCCTCCCAAACAAATATAAAGTCCCAGCCTTGCATTCTCCTGCAATCTTCTCTGACTCTTCTCTTTCCTGCCTTGGAGTCTCTTCATCATCCCCTTGTTCTTGGCTATGGAGATCTTCAGCATTACACAGCTGGATGCATATTGGGTATTTCTTGTTCCATAGTCTCTTCTTGGCCAGCCCATATGGAAACAAAAACACCTGTAGAAATTATAATAATGACATGCTATATCTCCAAACCTATACCAGTTAGGAAAACGGGGCACAAGCCCTACTCCACAATTGTTCTCTACTGATCCAAACAATGTATCATTTCGTAATTTTCTTGGGTCTTATTAAAGTGTGAAACACTGCAAACAACTAGGCTTGCAGAAGATAAAAACTTGAATATGAGTAGTTGCTGTGAAACATTACAGACAATCTGATATATGAAGCTACATTTTTAGAAATGTTTTATTCCCCTGCTTTTGTAATGACCTAGCAATAAGAAAAAAAATTGAAAAAATAAAACCGCAAAATGCAAAAAGCATCAAAAACGCATCAAAACTGCAAGTGCAAAAACGCAAAACGCAATGTAGAAAGGGCTCAAACGCAACCTACATAGGTGTGAACCTAGGGTTAAAGCGGAGCTCCAGTCCCCCTAAAAATATTTTGTTAAAAGCAGATCCACGGTGACCTTACAAATAGCATTAACAATTGGAACAATTAAATATTAAAAGCATTGTAATTACTTAGAAAATCGTAAACATGTACCAGGATCTCGGAAGCAGGCAGGTGCCATGTTGGCTGTGGGCATCTGAAGCCCGCAGGTATTTATTTCCTGGAATCGTGCTACTGGCTATCCCAACATGCAACACTTGTTCTCGCGCATGCGCAGTACAGACACTGCTCGGAGCGACGTGTGCAGTACAGGTTGCCATAACAATGGTGGGGACGGATGAAGTTCCCACCCCTGTCAGGCAACCTGTACAGCACTGTACTGCAAGGAAGGGAATATATCATGGACTCCGTATAATGGCGCAAAACACTTCCCATTTGTGTCATTTCCGGTTTCCAAGTCACGCGATTACAGGAAACCAAAGGACTCCTGGGATACAGGAAACAACATCCCAAGAGATCTTGCAAATCGCCTTACGACGTCATCGCCTAGTCGGTCGGGACCAGAACTTCAGGCTTGCAGAGGAATAAAAGATATGTATAATAATAATTAAAAAAAAAAAAAATATCCAACTTGTGCTTTATTTCACAGGGACTACATAATAAGGTAAAGTATTAAAAATGGGTGGAATTCCACTTTAAGGAGAGATCTGGAGTCAAAAATAAGAAAAAAAAAATGTCAGCGATGTAGAGCAGCGCTATAAATGAGTGCTAGCAGCTATTTTTTGATCTTGAATTTACATTATTTTAGTATTTTTCCAGTGCTTGCTTTTTTTTTTTAAACCAAAAAAAAAATGTATTGATAATTTTGCTTAAAAAAAGAAGAAAAAATGTTTGCATCCGCCCCAGACTGGATGTGACGTCATGACGTTGCTCCGGTCCTCCAATGCCATAGAGGCGATCAGAAACCATAGAGTCTCTCAACGCCTCTAGCAGCAGCCGCCCGCACTGTTGGACCATTTCTTAGTTGCGTCGGTTTTAATGGTAAGCCCGAGAAACACAGGCGAGCGGCGGAAGGGGGGGGGCATCCCCTCCCACTGCTACTGAAAGCGGTCCAGTAGCTAATTATCCGCTTGGACCACTTTCACTAGTATACCGTCCGCCGGGTGAAAAGAAAGATACCAGCAGTATGGCTGATATCTTCAGCCACAACCCCGGTAAACCACTTGAAAACCCCAACGTATATGTACGTATAGCGACACCACCATTGATACGCATACTAGATCAGTGGTTCTCAACCTGTGGGTCGTGACCCCTTTGGGGGTCGAATGACCCTTTCACAGGGGTCGCCTAAGACCATCGGCAAAACACATATTTCCGATGTGTAAAGAGCAGCTACTGTGTAGAAAGCAGCTACTGTGTTGAAAGCAGCTACTGTGTAGAAAGCAGCTACTGTGTTGAAAGCAGCAGTATTGGAGGTAAAACGACATTTCATGAATTATAATTACTGGGTAAATAATTTTATGGTTGGGGGTCACCACAACATGAGGTACTGTATTAAAGGGTCGCGGCATTAGGAAGGTTGAGAACCACTGAACTAGATGATGGTTCACGTCTTACCTGAGCACCGGTCAGCTCACTGATCTCATGACTGATGAATGTGGCTTCTGGAATCTCTTCTCCAAAGGTTGATCTTCGAGGCAGATTGCTCTTTGGATAGCTACGTTTTAGGGTTGTCCCTTCCAAGGTTACAAACACGGAGTGTGTGAGCGCTGGGTGATACGTCTCAGGATCGTAGAGAAATATATCTCATTCATCCAGCCCTGGTGCAAAAGAAACATGATTATTTCCTACCATGATATTTCATTAGCTAATTGGTGAAGTAGCGCCAATGCAGCCCAACCAATACGGACTGATGAACCTGTAACAGAAGATTTACTATGCTTTCCAATGAATAAATTATCATTTTACCAATCCACACAATCAGCCAAATACGCTGAAAGGAAGAACTTTCACTTGTTTAATGGTTTATAAAGCAATACACGTCCTGTTGTGGCTGACATATCACTGCTCTACTGGATGGCTACGGAGACAACAATGGCTACAGAGATAACAAGTGTAGCCACATACTTAGCTACCATGAACAAGTTATGACAGTTCGTTACTCTATCACTGAACTGATATGCTGAACCATCTCAGTGTATGCCTCCCGCCAGCAGTGGGAGCCAGTCAAAGTAGGTGCAGGACCCTTTTTTTGGTCTGCACTAGAACTGGATCGCACGGGTATTCACACCTATGCGATCCGATTCTGCACAACGCACCACAATTTGCGGACCGTTTTCGGGGTGTTGTTAACTTAACATACACACCCGCATCGATTCTTATGTGGTGAGGAATTTGCACAGAAAACGCTGCGAATTCCGCACTGCATCAGTGTGAACCAGGGATTAGTCATGGTTGGATACTTTGTGAGTGTTATTCTTCTTCGTTCCTTTTTCCAAGTACGTTAATCATTGGATTCAGGTGTTCCAATCACCTCCATGGCCACAGGTGTATATAATGAAGCCCCTAGGCATGCAGACTGCTTCTACAGACATTGGTGAAAGAATGGGTCGCTCTCAGGAGCTCAGTGACTCCAAGCGTGGTACCGTGATAGGTTGCTGCCTGTGCAATAAGTCCATCCGTGACATTTCCTGGCTACTAAATATTCCACGGTCAACTGTTAGTGGGATTATTACAAAGTGGAAGCAACTGGGAACAACAGCAACTCAGCCACCAAGTGGTAGGCCACGTAAAATGGAGTGGGTGCAATTGCTGGAACCAATCCCCTGTATGCCTCTCTCTGTAGCAGCTGAAAGCCAGTGGGAGGGAGAGTAGAAGAAGCAGCCAGCTTTCAGCTGCTACAGAAAGAGCCATACAGGGGATCGGTTCCAGCAAATGCACCCCCTCCATGCCAATCACTCTCCCTGCTCACATCCGATTCATCCAGCTTTCTGGGCCCCCCTGCTGGCCTGGGCCCCGTAGCTGCTGCAGAGAAAGCCATACAGGGGATCGGTTCCAGTAATTTCCCCCCCATAGCACCTTATCACGATCCCTGTGCACCATACATTTCCCCATGCTTCCCCCCTCTGTGCCCCCACCCCCGCAGTGCTGCCGGCTTCCCTCTTTTCCTTCCTACCAGCAGCTGCAAGCACACAATAGGATCCTTCAGGATGGAGAGTGGGGGAAAGGTTCAGTGAATATGTCACATTTTACCAGCCCGTTCCTTTCCTGAATGAACACAATGAGTGCTCAGTACAGATCACACACTAAGTTCAGTCATAGCAAAGCATAGTAAACGTTTTGTGGGGGGGGGGGGGGCTGTCAGGTTGGCTGTATGGTTTTTAACAGCAGCCCTGCATACAGCCATTTAGGAGCCTTATGGGTGCCTGCAGGCTTGACTAGGACTATTCTCAAACAGTACAATTGGGCCCTAACGCTAGCCGGCTGAAGAGTTAGGACTAAAAACTGTCCCTTTACAGCTGCGACCTTCAACTGTTCCTTATACTAAGAGGTACATCTCAGGGGACATTGCAGCATATTTTAGCCACTTTCTTGGAGTGCACCCTAGACTAGTTATAGTATTATTATTATTCACATTGCGGTTAATGTTTATATGAACTGTTTATTGCTGACTTTGCTGATGTTAATCCCAGTCTAGTGGTACAGAACTCTATTCTAAGTTATCTTGGCATAGTGATCATGCTGTATAGCCGACTGTGTCACTTTCTGTGTGTTCATTTATGCTCAAACTGCCATTTATTCCAACTTGTACTAATATATTGCACTGATTTACCACTAAACTGTCTTGTGTCTATTTCCTGGTGCTAATTCACAGATGACTGATAGGGAACTATACTCACGTTCATATACTGTCACTTAACCAGGTGTGTTCCGGGGTGTATTTACCACAAGGCAAACAGGGCATTTGCCTAAGGCGGCATTTTTCAGGGGGGCAGCACTGACCCACGGAAGAAGGGGCAGAAAAAGGGACACGTGTCATGGGGACCAGGTGGGATCCTAGAGAAGCTGCAGGCTGCTTGATGGTGTATATAGAGCATGACTCTCGTTCCTGGGGATATCTGGAGCTGTGAAGATCTCTCTCTTGCTGATAGGGGGGGATGATATTGGAAGGCTCTCTTGGGTGGGAGACAGGGGTGTTGTTGGTCAATGTCAGGCTTTCTGTCTGTGGGGAGGTGTTATTGGTTGGTGTTAGGCTCTCTCCGGAAAGGGGGGGGGGGGGTGCGTCCAATTTTTGTGTTGCCTAGGCAGGGGTGGGCAACTGTGGCCCTCCATATGTTGTAGAACTACAAGTCCCATGAGACATTGCAAAACTTGCAGTTACAAGCATGACTCCCAAAGGCAGAGGCATGATGGGACTTGTAGTTCACCAACAGCTGGAGGGCCACAGTTGCCCACCACTGGCCTAGGGCAACACAAAACCTAAATACACCACTGGTTGTGTTAGAGGGGTTACCAAGCAGCTAGTGCTACACAAGCAAAGTTCTATTCAACGACTGGCACAGGCAGCAATGCCGCAACGCACCAACAATTGAATAATTATACTTCCTTCTAATGAACAAAGTGTATCCAAAGTCAAAACCTTTTTTGTTTTAGATATAAAAGTGAATGGTTAGAATCCGACCCCCCCCCCCCTAGACTTCCACTGGAGCACTTTCCCTTCACTTTCTTTCCTGGAGGCTGCAGAAAAAATGGTACAATTGGGCCCTAATGCTAGCCGGCTGAAGAGTTAGGACTGAAATCTGTCCCTTACAGCTGCGACCTTCACCAGGGCTACTTTCACTCTGATCCACAGCAAAATCGCATATGCCTGTTTGCCGCATTTTTACCGCATTTGCGGTGCGTTTTTTACAGGACATGTGACTGAAAAACTGCACCAAAAACGCGACGCGGGTGCATTTTTGCCGCGTTATGCATTCATTTCAATGGGAAGGTGTGGTTTTTTTTACCATACCAAACCTGCCCCGAAAATTCCGCAAGTAGGATTTTTAAAAAAGCAGCAAGCCCACAATGGATCAGTGTGAAGAGTTTCATACGAATACACAGTCACATTTTTCTTCCGCAAACGCAAAAAGCAGAAGAAAAATGGATCAGTGTGAAAGCAACCCAAGAGGTGTAGTCCTGGCTGGTGTCCCTTCTAATGCAGGCCATAGATGGGTCGAAAATCGGCCGATTTGTCGGCCGAAAATAAAATCGGCCGATTTTCGGATCGTTAGTGGGCGATTTGGTCAGCCGTTTTTTCGGATTTTGGCCGTTTTTTTTTTGGTAAAGTTGGAAAGAAATCGGCCGATCGGCCGATTTTCGCGGCATTAATGGGCCAATCGGCCGATTTTTTACCGATAAAAAATCTGCGCATGAGCAGTGACCTGCAAGAGGAAGACAAAAAGAAGAAAAAAAGAAGAAGAGGAAACAGGATGAAGAAGAGGATGAAGAAGAGGATGAAGAAGAGGAAGAAGAAGATGAGGATGAGGAAGAGGATGAGGAAGAAGAAGAAGAGGATGAGGATGAAGAAGATGAGGATGAAGAAGAAGAGGATGAGGATGAAGAAGAAGAGGATGAGGATGATGAAGAAGAGGATGAGGATGAAGAAGAAGAAGAAGAAGAAGAAGAAGAAGAAGAGGATGAGGAAGAAAAAGAAGATGAGGATAAGGATGAAGAAGAGGATGAGGAAGAAGAAGAGGATGAGGAAGAGAAGAAGAAGAAGAAGAGGATGAGGAAGAAGAAGAAGATGAAGAAGAAGATGAAGAAGAAGATGAAGAAGAAGAAGAGAAGAAGAAGAGGATGAGGATGAGGATGAAGAAGAAGAAGAAGAAGAAGATGAAGAAGAAGAGGATGAGGATGAAGAAGAAGAAGAAGATGAAGAAGAAGAAGAAGAGGATGAGGATGAAGAAGAAGAAGAAGAAGAAAAAGAAGAGGATGAAGAAGAAGAAGAAGAAGAAGAAGAGGATGAGGATGAAGAAGAAGAAGAAGAAGAGGATGAGGATGAAGAAGAAGAAGAAGAGGATGAGGATGAAGAAGAAGAAGAAGAGGATGAGGAAGAAGAGGATGAGGATGAAGAAGAAGAAGAGGATGAGGATGAAGAAGAAGAAGAAGAGGATGAGGATGAAGAAGAAGAAGAAGAAGAAGTAGGATGAAAATAAGAAGAATTCCAGTCCAGCAAAAAGTGTCTCTGCAGAGAGCTCCGCTATTTCTGACAGTTCTCTGACAGTTCCTTCACATTTACAGCGGTTGAAACATTGTATCTATTTGTTTCCGAATAAAAACATCTGTATCCTAAATGGAAACAAATAGATACAATGTTTCAACCGCTGTAAATGTGAAGGAACTGTCAGAGAACTGACAGAAATAGCGGAGCTCTCTGCAGGGACACTTTTTGCCGGCTGTAGACGGGATGAAAATCGGCCGATTTTTTTTTACCATTGGTGGTAACGTCGGCCACTTGAACGACCAATTGTTCGTTTTTTTAAAAGAAAAATCGGCCGATTTTCGACCCATCTATGGCCTGCATAAGCTGTGCAGCCCAGGCATTCCAGCTACACCAGGGTTGATCCCTCTTTTCCTGTTGGTCAGGAACAAGATGGTGGGTGGGAGCAGAGCTGGAGGATTGTGATTGGCCCCCTGGACGTGCTTTCTTTTGCTTGGCCTTGGAAGAAATGCCAGCGGTGCAGAGGCTTCTAGGGACAGAGTGACCTGTTCTGCAGCCATCATTGCCCAGTCTGAGGATCCCATGGCCTGTTTGACATCCATCTCCATCCGGTCTGCA